GTTTCGGGAGAAGCACGAGCGAACGCCGCCGCCGCCGCTCCAGCAGATAACTCATCCATTCAAGTTCGGAGGCTCAGGACTCCTGGGTAGGCTCAGTTCTTGGTTCGAATTTAAATCGACAGCACTTTCAGATCGCCACGACAAATCACCTAAGTGATAGCTGGACGCGGAAGAAGGTCCAGTAGCTCGATGGTTCGTGTGGACATCGAATCGACGTCTTTCCGTCCGCTGACCGGCTCCGGGCCGCGCAGCTCTTTGCGGGAGTATCGACAGGGGTTCAAAATTCTGAACAAGATGATTGTCATTCGAAGGAACGAATCCTGCACTTCAAGCGGGGACTCGGCTAGCTGGCAAGCTTCCCGCGCCTAGAGCTGGATCTACGTCCTCTGTCGGGCATGAAGACGACCAGGCAACTGTAGAAACGATGTTTACCAAATCGATTATGATAACAACATCGCCGACCCATCGTAGTGACAGCAGCAGCAGCTTCAGACTGATATAAGTCCCCGACGGATCTGGAAGATGGGGTTATCTTGGGTCGTCTAGTCGTTCTGGCCCAAGAGCAGCGGGCGCAGCGGCGCGCGGCAGCAGCAGCAGCAGCGGAAGATGAGGAGTGTGAGTGCGTGTGCGTAGTGCAGCGGAGAAAAAAACAACACGAGGACCCGCTACGATAGAAGAAATATTCTTCCAGAGTCGCTGGCGCTCGTCGAGCCTCGCCGATCGGAGTTTTTCGCGAGCACAGAATGAGCGCAGTCGGAGATGATTGCCACCACCGCCGCAACGAACGTCGACAGCATCAAAACCAGGAGCCGATCGGCTGACTGAATGCGGCCGATTGCGCTGTCGACATTGAAGATAACGAATTAATAGTGCGCCTTTTATTAGCATCAGGAGCAATGGGGATCCTCCGATTCACGACATCTTCCAGCAACATCGCTCCATTCAACGAACGACGTTCAACTTGCCAGCCGCTGATTCAGCATGATTATCCATGTGAGGAGGATTCTTCTAGGTACATGAATACGACCAATGCGAATGTCGGGTTCGCGAGCGGAACGGCCAATTAATTCGGTTAATGTAGGGGAAAGCGATCATCGACGCCGGGAATCGGAGATGATGCTTGCCACCACGTTTGTCGTGTGAGTGACCGATCGATCGTCGTTGCAATGTTGGTGGCGCAGCCGAATCGGCCGTCGCGGCGTTCGTCGTAGTCATCGCACGGCACTCGTCGACAGGCTCGCTACTCGCTAGTGATGGCCGTCGGGCTCACAGAGGATCGGACTTTTTACTGTCTGCGGCCCGCGCGAAAGGCCTGACAGTCAATCTCCAATCATGGACTATCGGGAGAAGTGCGGAGGGAACTTGCTCGAAATCATTGTGAGTTCCCGGTAATGGATCCGAATATGGGCCCGCGTAATCGGCATGCGTCCCACGGGAAACCCGACCGCGGATTTCTCCACACATCGCTGCTCAAAACTGTATTATCTCAGAGATGGAGGCTCTGCTTCGATTCGGGAAGGAGGAGAGCACGTATCGATCTAGTTTAAGATAAAAACTCGAACGAAATGTCTATGTCATGATAGATTCAATCAATGGAGCTGATCTCGTTTGAAGTACGAGCGAGAACGAAGGGGCAAATCTCCTGAACTTCTACTGAATTGATAACCGAAGTGAATTATAGGGATTAATTCCCGTTCCAAAGTTCAAAGCGAGACGAATGATGGATAATCGAATGATTGTTTGGCAGGCAACTAATCACCTGCAGCGACGGACGATGATCTCTTTTAGCGAGGCAAGTGCTTTATCGGGCATTATCGGAAGAGGAAAAAAATGCGGAGAAAAAATAGCACTCGCTTCACCCACCAGTTGACAACTGCGGAGACGGCGACGATGACGAACATCATGGCTGCGACGATAATCGATATGATACGCGATAAACTCTCAACCGTACCCAGTCAATCACCGATTTCGTTTCGCAGCCAGGCTTTCAAACTGGAATTTGTGCGGTAGCGGCACGTACGACGATTCTTCCTCTGGTTGTCGGTGTTACGGAAACCCGCGGGACACCGATGAAGTTTCTCACAATTCTCTATCAGCACGTTCTTCTTCTGTAATGTCGTCATCCCCGCCATCTACGATAGAAGGGCTGAACTTCGGATCGTTCAGAAATCGATTTTCCACGCCGCTTCCACCGTAAAGTCGTCATCGCTCCTTCTACACGAGGACTTTATCTCTGGAGCGGCTTCGCCCATAGCCGGGGTTGAATGTACCAAGTCGGCTCAAACCGAGTTCTCCGATGAACAACTTCCCGATAGGAACAGTCGTCCTCTGAGAGATGTCCGCGCGGATATTGAGGCCGTTCGGAGCATTGTCGACCCAGCTGTAATAGAATCCCCATCGAGGAGGCGAAGTGACTTCTCTAGGATCATTGACCATTGAATCCAAAGTCGAAGTATATGACTCTGCCAGCAGATGCTGGCGGCAGGTACTCAGAGTGAAAACAGAAAAAGTAGACCGGGCATGTTTCTGTACCTTTCGACGGGTGTTTAATCCTCAGCGATCGCTGACTCTAAGAACGACGAGCGATATTCGCCTGATTTGACAGCGGTGGGACCGACCGACGGACAAACAGACCGACGAAGAGAAGAGCCTCGTAGCGGTATTAAAACAACGTTTGCTCACTTCGGTGGGGGCCCAGAACTTTTATGAAGGAAAACAACAAGAGCCAGCATTAGCGTTGGAGAAATCGTCACAATTTCCATCGACGAACCAATCAGCCTCCGGGAACGGAGGAAACCGCAAAACAATCCAGCGCGTTCGACGGGAAGCGGACGATTTTTGAAGCATGCGATTGTAGCAGCGAGACATTATCGAGATGCTCCAACTCGGCCGTTTCCAATGCCGACGTCGAGCCGTAATCCGTGACTTATCGTTCTCAGCCCTTCGATGAGAAATCATCCCAACAACTAATTCAACTGATGGGATTTTCGGAGCTGGCGGAATGCGGCTTCTTCTCGTGAGAATCCACGGGGCGAATGCTCACTTGTCCCCTCGTAAATCGGATGGGAAACATTGCTCTTTACGCTTCAACAAGTAGTTGTACGGCTTGTCATAATGCGACTCGATTGGATCCTACGTATTTCTCGCAACTGCTGTAACAACTTGCAGATCCTGCGCGGGGGCATGACTCTTTTTGCCGTAGAGTAGGTTCGCTTTTGAGTCTCCATATCGATGAGTGCCAGGACGGCGACGCGCGACACGACGCCAGATCGACCCCTCCGTCAGGAAGCGTGGGGAAATGCATCAAGAATTTCCCCCGTGTGGCGGGAGCGATCTCCGGGTAAGGAAGCAGAAATAGTCCTAGGCGATTCCGAATACAGAGGAGCAGTTGTTCTTGCTTACTCGCTGGTCTTTCGTGGCTTGGCAACGAGGCTCCTCCCATGGGCGGACGGCGGCGGGCTCGTCTCTTACCTTGCGCCAAAGCTCACTGACCATTCGTTGACCGCGCTCAGACACGATGTGCACCCGACCGACGGCTGTCATCTGAGATCGCGCAGGAGGAATACGCCGCGATTCCTCACAATGGGCCGTCACGGATTCCGGTCTTCGTTCGAGGATAGGCCTATTCGTAGATTATCTCGGAGGAGCTCAATTCGTTCTCAGGGTCTGCGATCTCGCGGTGTAAGCTCAGCTCACGGGGATCGTCTAGAGGGTCCTTCTCATATCCGATGCCTGAGAGGACCGGGGTTCAGTCTAATGGTCTCGTCTCTAGCCTGTTCTGTTTCTCGATTGAACTTACGTTGCTGGAATCGGATTAAAGGACGAAATCAGGAAACTCCATTCGAAGTGACAGAATTTATTAATCCGACTGAGTACGTCAGGTGCTGAACGAAATCCCGCCCATAGTATCCCAGCTACGGCGAGCCCTTTTCGTTGGCTCAATTTACAGAGATTAACTCCATTGGAATCCTTTTGATTACGTGAGATTTCGAACATGGGTGAGAGTTCGCTACAGGCTAACTAATTCCATCCGAGCATTCGATTCAATCTTGATCGCTCAGACCAAGAGTGCTGATTCGAGTGGACTTCTACGGCCCAAATGGAGCGTGGACGGAGCATGGAAGCTCCCGGGCACCGGCACGTTGAGTTAGCTGTCACGAAGCACCACTGAGTTTGTTTCGGCTCTCGTATCCTTCAAAAGTTGACTAGATAGAGAGACATCGATCATTATCCGAATTCCTTAGACTGTTTCTCTTTCTCCCAGAGGTCTCACGAACTCCCCGTTTCCATATAAGGCACGATACGAATCCCGCTCGTCGGGGATATCAACACACAAACACAAATTCGACCACAATTAAAAAGAGAATCTGCAAATATGGAATGGAAATGCCATCGTTGATACATTATTAGAGTGAAGTGTTCTCAAGATGGTGATCATGGGATCTTGAAATTGATTACATTGCTACATTGAGAATTATATCCGCGCTTCTCATCATCATTCGAACCATCGTTACCATATGTACAGCTATTTGACATCATTACGCAAATTCCCTCACACCACTCCAGAGCATCCGAAGCGTCTCTACCCATCAGTAAATCCCCTCAAGTATCTCATAAATTAGTTTTCGTAAGCGAAAGCTGTACAGTTTCCTTTGCAACAGAGATCTCGAATTTCGCTCAAGGAACGACCCGGCTCTCATTGTTCATGTGTGGCCGCTCTTCTTCCAACATCCGACCAGAACCTGCTTTTGAATCTAGAATCCGAGGACCAATCCCTTCGCACTGGATGGGCGACAGCGATCGATGGGGTTCTGGCAGACGCTTTCGAAATACGTAATTCATTCGTAATCGAGGAGGCTATTTCTCCTCATATAACCTTATATGTATACAGCAAACTTCACTATTCACAGGTACACTCCGAAAACTTACAGAATCCAGATTTCCGAGAGAGTCGGGGTCCAAACAGAACACGAAAAATCCGAAAGTATTCGCTCTCGGAACTAATCTACTTTGATCGGACTCGCCGGAGCGTCGTCGTCACTTTTTGTTGCGTGATGACTACCGGGAATAGGTTTGGAGAAAGCGGAGAGATGGCTCGAGACGGCAAGTGGGGATAGATTCGCCCCCGATGCGGCAGCGTGCTGTGAAAGGTGCATGAGAACATTGTTGATCGAAAATGGGTGATTTAGACCGTTCACTTTCACGGTACCCCCATTGAATGATGGGGGCGGAGAGGGTGGCGCCGGCGATATCGAAGGCGAGGAAGCCGGTGGCCCCCCCTTCGGGTTTCCGAGGGAGTTCATGCGTTGGTGCCGACGCCACTTTGCGCGTCGATTCGAGAACCAAACTTGCACACGGGCTTCGGACAGACCCGTTTTCGAGGCGAGGCGCTCACGGGTATCGACGCAAGGATAGTGAGTTTTTTCGAACTCCTCCTCGAGAACCTCTAATTGCTCCGGGCTGAACGTGGTTCTGTTCCGACGGAACTTTGGTCGGTCCGTATCGTCCGAGTCGGCCCCGTTAGACTCGTCGCCGCTCCCTCGTTCGCGGTCCAACTGTGAGTCCAGGTCCGCGGCTCGCAAGTGATGCTGTTGCTGTGGTTGTGGGTGTTGGAGAGGGTTCATGTGCGACAGGAACGCCGGAGACCAAATGTGCGGCGGAGGGGGCGGGGTTTGAGTTTGTCCCGATAGGACTCCTAGCGGCATGCCACCAACTGCACCGTAGCCAGCTGCTCGGGCGAATTCGGCAGCTGCTCGTTCAGCGGCCCGATTTCTGAGAATTCGATTGATGGAACTGACGGAGGGCGCTGTGCTGTTCGTGCAAACACCTGGAGGGGAAAATAATCGTTATTTGTATCTTTCCGACGAAGAGATTCCTACCGCTATCCTATTGAATCCTTCCGCTGCTCGGGCACGGCGATGAGCGAGCTCTGAAGATGCGCAGAAGCTGCACAGCGACGGAATCGAGTTCGATTGTTAGCAGAAAGCAGTGGCGGTGACAAAAATGAGTCGCTCGTAATCCAAGGAGGCGCCTCTCGCTACGAATCCATTGACATCTCTCGCTCGCTCGCTCGGAGTGATGTGCTAGACGTCGTTTTCAGCACAAGATCTAATGTCGGTCCGAATCGGATCCGTCAGTTGTATGTTACGGACCACTGTCCGCGGCTTTCACTTTGAGGCGATCGTCCCCAACAAGGCCGCCGCCTGCTAACGCTAGCGACAGGATGCCCGACGTCTTTTTTCTCGGTCAATTGAACTTTATGAAGCCCTGACTTCCCGAGGGGCAAAAAAGGTCCACGATGATCTGAACCATCGCTCCTCATTCATGTAGTTCCGATCCACGTCTTCTCGTACCGTTACCATTTGTGTGGTCTGCGTTGTGTTTTCGTCCTCGTTGTATGTCCCCCACTCGCTCGACGCCGAAAAAAAACGAGCATTTATTCGAATGCAGTACTCACCGTCCGAAATGAGTCGTTCTCTGATTTCCCAAGCAAAGATGGTCGGATTCTCTCGCTTGTACGACTCAATTTTCGCTACAACTTGAGGGGTGGCAACTTTTGGCTTCGAACCGCCGATTACTCCACGGTTAGCGGACATCATTCCGGCGGCGTTGACTCCAGTGGGGACTGCGGTCGAAACTGCATTCACAGGGGATGCGGTTCCTCCCGAGGACACAGGGGATTCTGTGGGATGGGGACATTGGTCAGAAAAGCGATCCTGCGGCTCTGGATTTTCCTAAGAAAGACCGAGAGCAAGACTTACTCTGTTGTTGTTGTTGTTGCTGTTGCTCGAGCAACATTTTCCCCATGTGCAAGTTTGAGTTCTGTTGGGCTTGGAATAGGTGTCTCGCAAGTTCATAAGGTTGTCTGAGAGCCGCTAACTGTGCGAGGTCGACTGGCAGGCCAAGGCCCGGTAGCGAGAGTCCCGATGGCCACAGAGCCGGTGAGCCTGTGAAAAAAAGTTCATTTTACTCTCTTGCCTCCGAATCGCTTCTGAAATACCCTGAAACACCGTTGCTTCAATTTTGGGACAAAATCGCGGAGAGAGTCGCTCCGACAACGTTTGAAACTTCGGCTCTTGTCCGCAGACTCCACCATCTGGCCCAGCTGGGCTTGTCGATGGCCAACCAATACTTATCTCGATCGGCCATTGGTAAACCGCATCGATAAATTCGCTTACTTAAGCTACAAGACGGAATACCGACCGGCGTGGCGTCGGTCGCCGCTTAACGACACACCGCCAGTGAGATTCAGGCATGAATTCCCTCGATCTGATGATTGCTCAATAGAAGGATACTTAACCCGCTCGTTCGTCAGATTCGACATCGAGGGAAGCAAACCAGCAGAATGATTGCTAGATCCTTTCCTTCGAACTGAGTGAATCACGCATTTTGAGCTTGACCTTTTGCCAATCGATGTGAGGACTGAATCTCCATCCGGGAGCTCGCATGAACAAATATCGAAAACAAAACCGTGGCGAACAATATGGGAATACGCAGCTCGGGGAAATGAAATCTCAGGGGAGCGAGATCGTAGGGGATACAGACCGCTACGTACTACCTACACTGCGGAAAACGTCCGGCATCGATTGGGAAAAGAACTCGATAGAGCAACTCGAGGAATTTCCCAGAGCATCCAGAAATCAGCCGGCAGAATGAAGAATAACAATGCGCGAAGCGGATCATTCGAGCCGAGTGGACGCCAATTGTTCAGGAGCAGGCTGTCGTTCGACGGAATTCTTTGAGAATTTTGTTCTGCTTCTCGATCTATTGCCGCAATCAGCGTCTATCGGCGTCCTTGCCTTCTTCATCGAGTAAGCGGGAAGAAAGCAACGCACGAATTCGTGTGTTTGTCACAAAATGGCTCATTCGTTCCATTTGTCAATTGTCGACATTGAGTTCCCACGGTGAAATTTGATCGCTTTTTCGAAATGAATACCGAGAAAATAAAGAGAAACCCTCCGAAAATTTGTTTTTAAAGAACACTTTGGACTAGCCCCATTCCCTTCCTGGCCGAGCCTCCAGGTCCGTTGTCTGATCGATGGAAGGAGCGAGTAGCTCGAACGAGAACGGCGAGCGACACGCAACCTACTATATCAGTTTCGAAAAGCAGAGCCCACGTTTTTCTGATAAATGCAAAATCGCTTTGAGGTCAAAGTTGTCGCGCGGAAATTGCGGGATAACATCCACGGAAAAATCGATGTCCAACGGCTGACAAAGATCCGGATTAGTTACCAGCCCGGGAATCTGCTCCAAGATGTATGGATGTATGTACACAGAGTATTTGCGAGACTTCCCGATGCTCACATGTTTTCGTAGGTCATGAATTCTTTTGTATACCACCGATTGATATCTCGTTCAGTACGGAGAAGCGCCTCGCATTCGACGATAGAGAAACTGCTCTGTTTGCTCCGAAAACATATGCGTTGAGTACCTCGTCGATGCATAAAACACATGCTCTGATTCGCCGTCGGACTCGCTTACGCTTCACATAAATCGACCGGAAAGACAGCAATGAGCTCATGGCGACGGGGACGACGCTTGTCCGGGACGGCGAAGGAAAGCGGACGGAAGTTTTGATGAAGTTGATGTGGACTATTGATCTCGAGGAACGATCTCGACGATCGAATTTTCTCGTCAGGACGAAAGGGCGAAATATGCAAGGTAGCAGCGGGCCAACGATAGGCACCCGACTGCAAATGACTGGCTCTTCTGATCGGTCCCAAGGCAACACTTCAGTGTTCTTTATTACCCATGCGTTTTCTTTCCGCGATCGATCTGGAAACGAGCGATCGATTCCGATTGCTGCCTAGACGGGTTCATACACGAGGATCGAGCGTCGCGGGACCTCCTGCAGCAAGAGCTGGTCGACGACGACGAAAGCCGACGATGATCGGACCTATTAATTCGCTCATTGGCCGAGCAGACAATCCGACGCATCAAGAAGCTCGTAGACTCTCGGGTGGTACTCGATTGTACGATCGATCGCTCGGAACACCCGTACGCGACAAGTTTGAATTTCGCATGAGCAATTTGTAAACGTCACAGCATTTCGAACAAGCGGCCCATCCTACTAGATAGTGTGCGTCGGCCTTGCGCATCAAGATGAAGATTGCCCAACGAAGCGAGACCGGCCTTATCGGAGGTGCCGAAGCGTCTCAAGTCAACAACTTTGAACGAATCGGGTTCGTCTGTGCTGCCTACTGTCCGTGCTGTCGTCAACGCTTTCGTGGCTAACAAACGGAGTTAGCTGTTCACTCACCCGGAATCTGCGGCATCGGAAAGCCCACCAGAGCAGCTCCTCTCGCGTCCAATTGGGGAAACAATTTCAAAAAGGGATTCGAGTTCGAGCACGCGTCTTCTTTGTCCGACAGTTTGGGCAGCTCGCTCTTGACGTTCGTTGGGCTCGGAGACCTCGAGAGTCGGGTCACGGCATCGGGAGAGCTCCGATCGCCATCGTCCTGGAGTTCGGTCTTGATTGGAGCTCCGGGAGGACTCGCCCGAACCGATAAATCCATTTCTGAAAAAATGATTCAAGCTTAGCTTCAGTGTCATCTCCACTCTCATCCAGGTTGAGAGCCGATTCGAAATCAATGATAATGATGATCTTCTACGATAGATCCTGGAGAGGTCCGAAATTCACGTGATTGTCAGCGAATGGCTTCTTGTGCTTGTAGCTGCGAGTGCCGTTAAGGGCAGAGGCCTCCTCTGTACACGGCAATCGGCGCGGTTAAACGTCTGAAGGTTTTGGCTTCTGCGGGGGCGATCCGTGACTTCATCTAACGAAAGGTGCCCTGCACTCGTGCATCGATAGTGTGCCTGCACTTCATGTTTTTACGCTAAATTAGCCGAATACGCAGATCGTGAGCCAGCTAGGAAATGTGCGCGACGCTGTGTGGGCAGAGGTTGCCTCGTGCTCGCTCGAGGATGATTGCTTGCATCACGGACCATAGCTGCTTGCCGTGATTGCATTGCAAATGGCTCTTGGGTCTTCTAGACCGGAATCGACTCTGCCCTCAGGATTCGAGGAGGGTCTTTCGACCAAAGGAGCTCCTCTCCGGTCCCCGGGCGCCACATGGGTGGACAGCATGAGACCACGGACATCCGTAGGTATTGGCAGACTTTTCGAGGACACCTTTCGCCGTCTGTTTCCTGCTAGGGGATTCGCTCTCGGAAATCGCATGAGCTCTGCCCGAAATTCTGTGAATTAATTGCTGATCAAACCATCAATCATCATCAATGGTGCGCTAAAGCGACAATGGTCACCGGCATCGACGGAAACCTGTGCGCTGTCAACACAACACCGATTCGATGCCTAACGATGCGACAAAGAGCCAACGATCAAGGCGGAGGTTGCTCCCGAGCGAGCGAGCGACGACGACGACGGGCCGATAGGAGTCGGATCGTAGCATCGACAGACGTGCGTGACGCGACTAATCGGTCACAAGAGATGCGAGCACATTGTGCACATTGTGAAGTGAGCCGGCAAACTAGAGCCGGCTCGGACCGACCGACTGAACTAAAGATCAGTTTCGAAAAGAAGTTATCTGTCTTTCAGCCTCATCGCGTGAACATTAACTGCAGCCATAAACACCAAGTAAGCCGCTGGCTTGAGCACTTCACTTCGATTGGCACTTTATGGACGGCCGAGGGTCGGCTCGGCCGCTCGTCGTCTATGGTTGTTCGGAAGGGTCGCCGTTTTCCCACCGGCCCATCGGGACAAAATCGCCGAGGAGTTCTAAAATTCTTTCTACCGCGACCATGGAGCTCGATCGCACATCGAGTGAAGCTTCCCCGGCTGCTCCGAACGTTCTACGCCATGCGTTGGAGACAAGATCGATTGCGAATTGCGAGTGATTTCCCTGTAGAATTCAGTCGTGAATGAGGAACCATAGCGGAGGCTCGCTCTGGACGCCAATCGTTGACTCAGTGGACAACGACGAATCTACCTAGCACCGCCGCGCCGCTCAAATACCCAGCATAAAGAATTACAGAGGCGTCAATCGTTCGATCTCGGTTGGAGATTCAGCTTGGTGGCCGCATCTCACGGAAATCCTTCCTGAATAAATTCCACCAGAGTCGTCTGAACACAGAACTTAATCCGTGTCACGCCAACTCACGCTCATGCTCATCTCCGAGCGATGCCACCGCGGCTGATGGTGCTCGCTCGTTGTTCCTCTTGTCTCATACAAAATCGACGCGGCCACTTGCTCTTTAACTCCATGGACCCTTAATCACGTTAGCTGAGCAAACCCTTGCTTTCAACAGATTCGGTCACTCGCTGGCCGGCTTGCTCGCTCGGTCGGACGGTCGTCCGAACGCACGTCAGTGAACACTTCCCGTGCTATTCTCCAACGCGCCACGCAGATGGTGGCATTCGCTCCAACCTAATCCACACAAACATCGAAGGAGGTCCCGAAGTTTTCCAACTACTCCAGACCTGGGATCTACGGGAGTCCGGGAATCGGGAGCGCTCCGCGGGCGTTTTCTCCGGCGAGGCAGGGGAAGGAACGTGAGATCGACTTCCACCGATCGAGAGAGGAACTCGTGAGCCGCACTCGTTTGGTCGCGAAAAAAATGAATAGAAATCAGTGAGAGATCATTCAACGCTTTGGTGAATCGCTTTATTTCTTTCCGTCAACACCTGCGGAGATAGAGCGGTTCAATGACGGAATTGGGTCCGATCCTCTCGTGGAAACACTAGGTTCAGATGTTCAGCTGGCCACTTAAATTTAGTGCTTATCCGACGTTTAGCCACGCGGTGTTACCCTAGCGCCCTTATCATCCAATCTGCACAGGCTTCAACGATCTCTCGAACTGAACGAGCCGAACTTTGACTTCCACGCATGGGTTGGAAGTCGGGGCGAGGATTCATCAGAACCAGGCTCACTGACCAAGCTATAGGAACATCGATGATCCGGAGCGAGAGAGATCGATTTTCCTTACGAGACTTGGCGACCGAATCTTAGTTCCCGACCAACGGGATCGCCCGGCAAGTACGGTACAACCGGAGAATTTTTGAATCGAGCTTCTTCGTATCGTGGGGATCCCCACGCCGTCATGAGCCAAGCCGCGACTACCGCCACCGCTCGATAATAGTCTGTTACCCCTCCGTCAGAATTAATTTCTCTGACGGGAGCTGGTAGCCGACTGACGGGCCAACCGAATCGCTACCTGCCTCTCGACAGGCAAAATCCAGACTGAGGACTGACTATGCTCAGCGGCAGTGTAGGGAGCTTTGTGCTTGATGCTCACGACTTATTATTGATGCTCAGCTGAATGCCACCACCCCTCACGATGTTCGGAGGCGTTGGGTATGCTAGACCTAAATGAAGGCGTTAGCGATTTTTAGGTTCCGGCTTCTTCTTTTTCAGCATTTATCAAAGCCTACGACTTCACGCCGCGGCGAGAATGCGCACGGGACCCGGATACCAAAAAGAAATCCCGAGTGGCCGACAATCTCCGTTCCAGAAGTTAATCAGGTCGGACGCGCTCTGATACTGATCGTGATGGCTACGAACGCTTGGAATTTTTTTCAAGGAATTATGTATACCCAGCTGTCATATCCTCCACGAATATGAAATTCGAGTATTGCCTGCGCATGTCAACGGTAAGTAGAGCGGGAATATATCATTTGCACGCATGTCGGTAGCATCTCTGACCCACGGTGATTTGCCCCAAATTCTTTAGTAATAGAAATTCAATAGAATCGAGAAATACACGGAGGATACAGGAGGAATATGCCAGGCCATTTGCGTGCAGGCTTCCTGCACGCTTCTCCACTCGGGATGGAAAACGGCTCTGGGAATATATTCGTCCCGAGTTTGGCGGACAGTAGTCGAGTTTTCGTGTGAATCAAAGTGCGTCGAGAGTGCAGGCTAACGGGTCGAGTCGATACAGGTCAATAATTATTGTTATTGGAAATTCGATAAGCGTGCCTCGGTCTTGCTCCTGTGACTGAGCTCCGCGGATCAGGATGAGGTTATCAGATCACGTGTTCTCTGAGCTGAACTGGTCGTGACTTTTGTCCTGTCCTGTTGTAGCCGGCAGCAAATTTGAATACAGATCAAACTGAGACGATAATTCCGAAATCGACCGACTCGTGCTCGAAGTACTCGAGCCTGCGCGCTCAATCAATCCCGAGATTGAGAGAATCAGATAGATTATGGCTGGATCTCGGAGGGTACGCCCGCGCTCTAGTTTTGCATGCAAGGCCTTCTATTTTCCTCTCAAGAGTCTCAGGGTGAACTCATTCTTTATCTCCGCGAGATTCTGCCGTTTTGAATAAAGAACGCCTCATGAGGGACAACTCGGATAAGGCGCCTTACATTGATGCCTATGAGAAAGGAGCTCCCCTCTCACATTTCCCCCACGAGGAACCAAAGGGCCGCCATGTGCAGGATTCCAGGGTATCGAGAGGAGTTTTTCCTTCGATTACGCCGCGCTTTAGATTTTTTGCGACGCCTCAACTCAAACACGGGGCCCCTCAGTACGTCTCGAGTCCCAACTCCCAACCCTTTGACAACATCGTCATCGACCAGTGCTATCTGCGGGCCATCGGAAGGACCAGAACCAGCGTGGAAGGGCGGATCACATGTCCCTCAATCGATTCTTCCTCAAAGTTGGCCCTTCTACGCGCCTAATCGTCGCTCCGTGCGGATTGGGTCCTGGATGACTCCGACAATCGTCATGGACGTTGAGTGTCTTGATGAGGTTGGTGGAGGTTCTAAGAAGATGTTCCCCTGATACGTCTCCCAGCGATTCCAGAACTTGCGGGCGATTAATGGATACCGCTCACAATGGAGAGCTTATCATCGGAGGTATGATTCGCCTCTCAAACCCCACTCACAAGTTCAAAGTTTGAACTTCAAACACCGAATAGGAAAGCCCGGAAGCAGTGATTGGTCAAAGCGTCGGAATTCAGCTATCAAAAGCCATCATATCGGTTGAAATCATCAGACCAAGCCTCTTTCCAATCGATCGATCAATGGCATTGTGATGCGGTGTCGGGGAACTTGAATATCACAAATCGCAACCCTGACAATGACAATATGACTGGGATAAGTTTCCTGAGTTAGGGCAGCGTGACATGATAGACTATGCGGTAAATGATCCTTATGATCACTAAACGTAGGGGATCGTCCGACATCATAATGAATCTTCATTGCCTCGATGTGGAGTCGCACTTTCAGGTTAATGTTAGTGGCTAGGTAGTATCTTAATTGTACCTAGCTCAGAGAGCGGCGTGGAAAGCCTGCATGAAATGGCTGAGCAGCGGCAAATCATTAATGGACCTCTCTAAGTCTGGTGAAACATGCTTCATATTGAGGTCGAATCAAATGAAATACGGTATCCATGAATGATCTCGTATCTCGTCCAACCATACTTACTCCAGATTGTGACGTGAGTCGTGAGCTTCAAAGCTCTCGGTTCCAAATCGCACTTGTTGATGCTGTTCGTTCGAGACACGTCTAGAGTGGATGCGCGAGTGATCGTCGCTCTCTTAAACTAGTACATA